ATATATATATACATATATTGTGATTACCATGACATAAAATCATTCACACTGCGATCTGATAAATATGTATGTATTCATTTATGATCATACCACGCAGTTATTAAATATATACATTATTTTTTGCTGACTTTCCAGTAAAAATAACTATTGTTATGCCTTTACCATGATTTAAAATCACTCGTACTGTGATCTGATAAATATTTATTCATGGTCATATTTTGTTTATTATTGTTGTTTCAGTTTTATATGTTATAAAAACATGTGATTGTAATGTTGCCGTGATTTTGTTATGCATTATGCCTAAGAGCATCATTTATCAGTGGTAAAAAATTGTTAGTCATGATGCAAAGCTCCCTTAATCCTATAAATGTATAAAAATCACCACAATTCACTGCATTCATCTAGAACTGAACTGATGCGTGTACATCACCTAGTTTACAATAACTTCAAATGTTAATTTTATATAATTTTATAAAAATAAATGAAAGGTATTGTAAGTGTTTTTCTATCTGTCCTTTTGCCAATCAAACTAATGACAGTAAACCCAAAATGATTGACAGGCAGAGAATGCTTCTGATTGGCACACGTTAGTCCCAAACAAACTACTTTTCTTTAAAAGGATAGTTCACCCAGAAATGAACATTTTGTCATCATTTACTCATAATCCACTTGTTCTAAACCTGTATGAAAGAAGATATTTTGAAGAATGCTGTTAACCAAACAGTTGACAGTCGGTAGCCCCTGACTTTCATAGTATTTTTTTGGAAGTCAATGGCTACCATCAACTGTTTGGCTACACGCATTCTTCAAAATGTCTTCTTTTTTGCTCAACAGCTGAAAGAAATTCATACAGGTTTAAAACAACCGATTGAAATGATGGTTGAAATTATAACAGACATTTTGAGTAAACTATCCCTTTAATACACAATAATGGAAATAGACATGTGCAAGCAGTGATTATTATTCATTTTACATTATTTTTACAGCATTGTGAGACTCACCATTGACTTTGGGACTCAATGTTCCTTGAAAAGGCGTTATGATTTTTTCAGTTGTTTTCGAGCCAGCTGAAAGAAAAATGCATATCACTGCAACAACGAGTCACTGCATCTGAAATGGGTTTAAGAAAATCATTTCACACACGACTTCCCACATCATGCAAAGGAAACGGCATCAGTCGGTTTCTGCCTCGACAAGACAAAAGAAACGGAAGAAAAGTTGCAGGCCACAAAGTTCAGGCGGAAAGCACACATCTGAATTCTGCACTGTGTGCTGTGTATTGATGGGGTGTTGGACTGCTTACCTCTACAAACGGGCACTTTCCCAGTCCAGGATCCATCCGGCCGGCACGCGCGGTGCTCCGAGCCCCCGGTGAGTATGAAACCAGGCTGGCAGGAATAGAGCAGCGTGTAGCCAAAGGAGGGCAGGTCCATGCCCAGCACGTTGGCATGCGACGGGGTCTTTGGTTGCTTACAGGAGTGGGCTGCATTGGGAGATATGTCAAGCAGTAAGCTCTAATGTTCTGATGCATGGGGAAATCTCATAAAAAACGTATCCACTTCATTTTTCATCCCAAAAAGGAAAGAAATCAAATATACTATAGCAAGTACTGTAATACAGTTTTTTTTGTTTTCTATAATTATATTAATTTTTAAACATTTAAAATAATTTTATATATTTTTAAATATATTATTATTAAATATGTTATTATATACAATAAAATAAATAAATAATATGTTACAATGTTTAGAATAATTAATAATTAAAAAGTTTTTTTCATTTGTATACTAATTAGGTTTTTCTGTTTTGTTTTTAGAAAAAAAACATTTTCAAATTTTTAGGATTAGACAATTTATACAAATATATATATATATATATATATATATATATATATATATATATATATCAGAATACAAATATGACAGACAAGTTTTGTGAGACTCACACAGTAACACTTACTAGAGCTGCTCATAATAAATGCAACAGAGCTTGTCCATTCACGTGATGTACTGCATGTCTGGTAAAGCAATATTTTTCATTTTCACATGGAATGACATGAATATGGAATAAGAAGACTCCTGGAGGGTGAAATCAAAGTTGTACCGTGACATGCAAAATGGATGACTTGCCAAGAAAACAAAATAACAGACATCTGGAACTGGAAAAGATGAAGTACAATGCACACACACTCACAAAAAGAAAAAAAAACAACAACAAAAAAAGTCCAAGTAGGCGTCTGTTGTGGAGGTTAAGCGAGAGGGACTCACGGACACATTCTGGTTGAGTGCCACTCCAGGTCAAATCTTGCTGGCACGTCCGTGTGGTGGAGCCCAGTATCAAGTGGCCCGTCTGACAGTGGAACTTCACTGTGCTGCCCACCTGAGGCACAGAGATAAGCCTGTCAGTGCACCCACACATTTAAAACAAACACACACACACACACACACACACACACACACACAACTCTAAATCTCTCCTCTCACTCAAACACGCTGCTGCTGAAAACATAGTAGATATCAGGACTGTTCAAGATTCAGGATTTAAGAATCGTCTCCTGTTCAACTCATACAGTAAGTATGATGACGATGTGATGAGCTTGAACTGAACTACAGTAGCAAAGGTAAAGACCATAAGATTAGGAGTAAGTAGGCTAATAATTCCAGATATAATGGCTATACAGAATAATAGCCACTTTTTATTAAAATCAGCTAAAAAGAAAAGTCAGCACCATTCAAAAATTTGGGGTCAGTAAGACATTTATTTATTTATTATACTTATTTATATAACAAAGGTTCTTATCCTCAACAAGGCTGCATTTATTCGATCAAAAATACAATAAAACAGCAACATTGTGAAATATTATTACCATTTAAAATGAGAAAATATGTTTAAATGTAATTTATTCCTGTGATGCAAAGCTGAATAAGTGTCACATGATCCTTCAGAAATCATTCTAATATTTTTTTTGGAAAAACGTGATACATTTTATTTAAGGATTCTTTGATAAACAGAAATTTCATTAGAACATGATTTATTTGAAATAGAAATCTATTGTAACATTATGAAAATTATTGTCACTTTTAATTAATTTAATGCATCCTTGCAGAATAAAATGTAAAAATTTCTTTAAAAAAAACAACAACTTACTAACCCCAGACTTTTTATATTTTAATATTTAATTTAACATTTAATTTTAATATTTTTATTATTAACATAATATAATATAATACGATATAAAATATCATAGAACATCATATAATATCATAGTATATTGAAGAATATAAAAATATAATATAATAATTGCTTTGAATATATTTATTAAAAGACAAGCAAACAAATAGTTAAATAAATATAGAACTAAAAGTATACATATACATATATACACACACACACACACATATATATATATATATACATACATACATATATACATACATACATACATACATAGTACATACATATATATATATATATAACATTTAAATAAATAACTAACACTGTCAACAAATAATCAACTAATACTAATTTCACTAAGTGCGTTTTTTTAAAGCACATTCTGCATTCTCTTAAGAAGCTCAATTCAAATTAAAGAATTAAATAACAAATCAAAAAGCATTCTCTCATTTCAGTTCTGAATGCCGCACACTCTCCTCGCATTTACTATACCTGAGGACCCGTATATACTTTAGTCTTACTTATTTCAGTTGTTTTTGTTTTTTTGTATTTTTTTATGTGTTGCGAGGAAAACCAGCCTTCATGTGAAGGAAGTCCTGTATAAACAGCAGAGATAATTCTCAGTGTTATAGCAGAACATGCAAATGTTGAGGAGGGGAAGCGGAGTCTGTGAGTCCTGCTGAGATGAAAAGCTCACAACACTGGAACATGAGCTTTCATTACACCACACACTTCTGAAGGAATCGGTGACAACAGCAGCCTGACTGACACAAACAAGACGCGGAGAGCCCTGTGTTCACAGACAGCCAGCCGAGAGGACCGGCTTTTATTTAGCCTTTCAAAGAGCTCATTCCTCAAGGCGTGAGTGATCCAAAGCAAACTCAGCAGCCAAACGCTTTTCATATTAGACCTGTCGACCACAGATGCTGGCGGTAACGGCCGTCTTTTTGAGATTATTGCCATTGGCAGTGCATGACTGACAGCTCCAAAATCCATTCCATAATTTTGGCAATGGATAACGCATATTTGTTGCTGTCATTCATATTTAGTATTAATATTGTGTACAATTACCATCCAATTGATTTCAGCGATTTTATTTTATTTGTTAAATTTAAGAACAGAAACCTACTCTATGCAAATATACAATAAATATGATAGATATAAATATGGGGACAGTTTAAATAACTTTCAATAACTTGCTAAGCAATCCATTCAATGTCCCTATTTACCTCCATGGGAAAATACCTGGACTTCTGCAATGCATCTAAAACAATGTTTTGAAGAATGTCACTATAATAATAATAATAATAATGAAAATAATGTGTGCTATTTCCATAAGAAATTCTGGTAATGCTATTTTGTGGATAAAATAGAATAAAATTAAATAAATTGATAAATTGATGCTGCTGCGTATGCCCTGGCATCCGAGCGAGATGTCAAGGAAGGGTGTCTTAGAGGACGTCTCACCCATAGAGTGACGAAGAAGAGAGTGATGTGTAGCTCCTGGTGCCTATTTATACTATAGTCGCACTGGTAGTGACGTCATGGCTGTCGCCGGCCAACTAGTTGGTGTTTTTTCAATGTATACTTCAGACACGGGTCACGACGAGGCGTTCCCCATAGCGACCCCTAGAGGACACAGTTAGAAGTTCCCATGAAAGGGAACTGCGGTTACTGAAACCACGCCTTCATTTTTTGTGTGAACATTTGGGCGGCATTATGCAAATATTTCCACATAGTGAGGTAGATATGTGGGGACGTGTTAGAACGAGCCGTTATAGGGGGGCGTGGCAGAGTCTTAACTTTGATAAAGTTAGTCTTTGCAACTTCAGGGATCTTATGTATGCACAATCAGCTTGTAACACTCCAAAGAGAAAGGAAAACTTGAAATCGCATCATATGACCCCTTTAAATTAATTAAATAAATTACAAATTTGAGCAACACTTGTGCCAGGAAACATGATCAATATTGATTTAATTTGAATTTCAATAAGCCATTTTTTTATTAAATGCATCTAACAAGCATTTGCTAACCAGGATTCTGTTTCTGATTATTTCTTCTCACTAAATGTTTTGCTTCTGAAACCTACAAGCCTGATCTCATCACAGCCCCTGGCAAGGAAAATCCGGTCTGATAACTGAGTTATCATTTTCTGAATGATTTATCTGCGAGTAACCCAACCTGAGCCTCAAAACAAACAAAAAAAATACATGCCGGTTCGAATTCAGCACACAGTCAATTATTAACCAGGCAGGTCTTAAGTTCTAGAGGAAATCTCTGCGTATGATTTGAAAAACATTTTGAGCGCAAAAGCATTTCACTGTGCATTTTCTTGTACATACACACCCATACATACACATGGCACTTTCATTATTCAGCTGCAATACACTATAAATCGAATGTAAACATCTAGACAGTAATTGGCAGACTTCAGTTTCACCATACAAAAGAACGGAAAACAGCTTTAAGAGCGCATAAGACTGACAGACCCAAAATTAAACCTATTTCCACAGTTGATATGTCATGATTTCAGCAGGGCAAAAGCATTTGACATATAAATTGCAGCAAAGCTCTGCAGGCTACATGGTATTTAAAGATCAGAAGTCGAGAGGCGAATTTCCGTGCCCCACGAGTGCAGAGGTTGGCTCACCTGAATGTAAAACGGAGTAATTATCCCTCTTTAAAAATGAAGCTGAAGGCCGAAGGGGGCACGGCGGCTGACGCACTGTGATGAATAATTCACAGGGTGGGATGAGAAAGCCTGAGCCCACCAGCTCTGAGTGTGACCACATGGACTCTGTCCACCGCAGCTGAGCGCTTAATCAAATGCAGCAGATTGCATTGCACAGCATCTGTACGGCGACGTTTAATGCACGTCAACTCCAATGGCCGTCAGCCGGCGGTGCGGTTAAACGGCTCTAAAGCAGTTTTAAACGGCAGATCAGTCAGTCTGTGGCCACGGGGATCAGGCTTTCTTGGCAGTGCTTTGACACATAAAGTCTTTGCAGTCTGCTGTGATAAAACAAGATCGCCCTGTAGCATTTTCCACAAGATACCTGAAGGAGAACTAGCAAGGTATCTTCCCTTCACAAGCGTTATCCACATCCAAATACGTGATTTTGATCATTAATACTCACTTATTTCCAAATACAGTGAGTTTTTGGACACTAGTTACACTTAAAAATGTCTGCATGCCATTGCATTATTGAGAATGTTTTTTGTATTTTTTCGTAATGAAATTAAATACAAATTAAATACAAATTAAATAATAAATCTAAGTACAACAAACAAACAAATCAATTAATAATACTCAACATTATTTCTAAAGCACTTTCAAAACCACAGAGCAGACCAAAGTGCTGTACAAGAGGAGATAAAAGATAAATTAACATAAAATCAATAAAAACAAAAACTTGTTCCAGTACTGAGATTCTTTTGTGTTTGTAATAAAATAAAAAAATAAAAATAAAATTACATTAAATTTTAGCAACCAGTACTGAGAATGTTTTGTGTTTGTTATAAATTTGTTCTATTGTTATAAAATAATATAAAGAAAAATAAATTAAATTAAAATAATAATTAAAAAAAATAGCAACATTTGAGCCAGTACTGAGAATGTAATAAAACTGAGATAAAATAAAATTAAAATAAAATAAAATTTAAATAAAATTAAATAAAATTAAATTAAAATCTTTGAGCAACACCAATACTGAGTATATTTTGTGTTGAAATTTATGGTATCATACACATCTGTCACTCTGCTGTCTTGACATCAGCATTGGTTATTAAAAAAAGCAATTCAGCTGCCGATCTGTTATTATGGGGGACAAAGTTGGCAATGGATGTCATACATAATAAAATATCAAAGCAAATAAGATTTATTTAAAGAAAAATATAACAAACACATACTGATTTAATGCATTTTGTACTTTGTGACCAGGTGTATTCTTTGCATATAAAGTGTGACAGGCCAGTGACGGATAACGATGCAAATATGCACAACACATAAACACTTACTAGCATTATATATTCCACATGCAACGGCAGGTCTTGGAGGCCAAATGTGGCACCGCGACAATAGAATCTGTGATGTTTTTACAGTGCACGCAGACCATTCTCATCTGACTGCTGGATTTTTTTCTTTCTTTCACAGAATACAATTATTTCAACAGCTCTAGGCTAGAGCAAGTTATGCATAATAATCAGAACTGGAGAACCCAGTCAGGCCCCGTGTCAGAAAAAAAGTTCCTTGATGAATAATACAATGCTTTGGAGAAGCAACAAACAGCACACAACAAAAAGCAAATCTGAATTTCACACTGCAGCTCGGTGCAGATGGGCAAACGTACGTCGCTGCACTGATATTCACAGTGTGCTAACCACGTTAACCTGATTAAATATAGCCATTAAGTCTTCTGATGAGCAGATTCCATGCTTTAATATTCACCACTTTCCATGAATACAGTACACTTTGGTGATACAAAATTGATTGTTACGCATTAGAGGTGCAAATACAACATTCTTTGGTTGCTGTTACATACTGTATGTAAGATAAAGTATAAAATTAACCAAGCACAAGTATTTTGGGAAGACGTTTTACTTAAAGTTTACCAAAAAAAAACAAAAACTTGCATTTGCATATTATGGCAGTCAAAAGATTAGAATCTTTTGAATATTTTTTGAATATTTTTCTCTTATGCTGACCAAAGTTACATTTATTTGATCAAAAATACAAAAAACAAAAACAAAAAACTGTAATATTGTGAAATATTATTATAATTTCAAATAAATGTTTTCTATTTCAATATATTTTTGTATGTATTTCAAAATAATTGTATGTAATTATATAACTGTATAAAATGTAAATAAATGAATAAAAAAATCTAACAAATATTTTCTGTAATTTAAGGAATACGTTTATGAATACGTACAAACCAACAGTTTGTCACTAAATAATAATAATAACAAATAAAATACGCATGTAAATATTTATAAATAATTAAATAAATGTTTAAATAAATAAATAAATAAATAACACAAATCAGGGTTTTAAATTTGTACCAAAAATTATAAGCTCTTAATTAAAATGAATAATATCAATAATATCTCACATTTACTTTGACCACCTAACTAAATAAAATAATAGTAAAATGTTTATTGAAATATTTATAAATACTAAAATAAATGTTTACTTTCTGCAGTTTTAGATTTTCAAAAACTTAATTCTGTGTTATTTATTAGCTTGTTTACCCGTGGGGACTTCGATTTAGGTCCCCACCATGTCCCCATGAGTCTGTGTGTATTCTGGTTTAAGTCCCCACCAGAATAGAAAAACAGGTACACACACACACACACGTCCCAAAAATGATAAGCCCTTAAAATAAATATTTACTTTGACCACCTTAGATGAATTACCAACATTCTGTACCTCGTTTCACTAATTATTTATTGAAAACTAAGAAAAAAAAAGTTTCAGTTCTTATTTTATACCCTAATTCATGGAAATTGCCACGCGGTGTTGAGCTGGATCTACGAGATGAGGCTTTAATTTCTGAGCTGCCATTTGTCTATGATATGTGTGCTTCGAAGCGTGCATTAGCACGGATCTAATCTTGTAGTGCTGGGAGAGTCCTGAAAGAATGAATTATGATTTATGCCATATCAGCACTAAAAAGTGACAATCTCAAATTTCTACCACCTTATCTACGGCCTGTGCACAGGGCACGTTTCAACACCGTCTTAAAGGTTGCTGCTGACTGGCAAACGCAGACACGGTATTGTATGGGAATGAAACACACCAGTTTAGAGGGGACCCAGCTGGAAAAACATTACTGTCTGACAAAGAATTCATTCATGAGAAAAATCCTGCCTTCCAAAGTACATTGGAAAAGTTTGTGGCTGTTAATGAGGAAGAAATTAATGAGTTGTTTACTTTAAAATAGCATGTTTGCTAGAATTCAACCAAAAGTTTATAAAACTGGGATTAAGCAAGAGCCTTGTGCGGCATGCCATTTATTGTTTCTCTCCATTGTGAATGTAATGAAAGCATCAGTGTATGGATATCTGCCATCTGAATGGTGAGAAATGCCATGAAGTCATCAGAAAATGAAATGCCAATTACACTCTCCCCCAGCTGACACTGTTCTGTTCAGGAGGAGATTGCTTTTCTTTATGGATCATAGAGGATTGTTGGTTATGGATGATGAAAGCAAGCCAGTTTACATTTATGAACGATAGGATTGTGCAAAAAGCTCTCACAAATAAAAGCTGATAAGCGTGCTGGTATCAGTGTTATTCAGCGTGTACCTTTCTGCTGGTAAAAATGCTTCTTTTCATCTCATTTCATACCTCATTTGCATCTGACTTGCAAAATTGTTGAACCCCATGCAAAATATTTCAGATTCTTGACTCTTGCCAATTCCCACTGCAAATGAGTTTTATACAAATATACACTCTAAAAAAATGCTGGGTTGTTTTAACCCAATGTTGGGTCAAATATGAACTAACCCAACTGTTGGGTTAAATTTTGGTTAAATTTTTAAATTAACTTTTTAACCCAACATTTGGGTTAGTCCATATTTGACCCAACATTGGGTTGAAACAACCCAGCATTTTTTAGAGTGTAGTTTTAGACATATGTCTATCAACTATGTATGTACACACACACACACACACACACACTATTACTATAATATTAGAGGTTAAAATAAACAACAGAGCTGACAAGATTGACATTATTTGAGAGCTGAGACTTTGTTTCCTATCAGAAGTAACAAAGGCAAAGCTCTATGTGATTATTGGATAGGATGCGAGCTACAAATAATGTTAAGTGTAGGAAAACCATGGACCTGGCAACCCTGAACTACAGGTCAAATAGAAACTGTCAACTGCACAATTTTTTTTTGTGAATTAAATTGTTAATTCATTACTATTGTGTTAACTTTGACAGTCCTATATTGAGACATTTGAGGTTTGACACTTTTTTACGTGCGCTTTTTCATGACAGGATATACAGTATGTGTGTGTAAAAATCCACCAGAAATAGTAACGCATGTTTGTCATTCATAGCACTACTTAATTTGACATGCTACAATTTGGAATGCACTTGTCTTCATTTTTTAGGATGAATGGTAGATGAAATGAGACTGTGCATTTTCACTTCATCAGCATTTGCATCTATTTCATATGCATCATAATATCTGGATATATATTTATGTGACAGTTCTCGGTTCTCGCTCATAATATCAAGATCTCGCTGTAAGCGAAAAGTTTTTGCATCAGTATATATAAAATGTCCCTATCACCTGACAGATATCACTGAAATAGGTGTCTTGAGAAATCACACCTGTCTCTCTGTGACAGACCTAGACTCCGTAAACAGCTAAAAAATTGTCAAGAGAGTGACTCATGCTTTTTAAGCAGTCAGAACACTAGCCAATCAGAATCGCTCTCTGCACGTTCTGGTTTGCTGACATCAGGTTGGCTAAAATTACTTTGGAGGGCAGAGATTTGGAAAGAGGGAGTATGACGAAAGTTAACAAAACTGCTGAAATCACCTATAGCACATTTGAATGAATATAATGAAAATTGAAAACTAAAACCAAGCATTTTTTATTTTTATGCACTATACCAGTTTCTCACAGGACAACTGAGAATTTAAGTGTGAAACTATTTTTGAAATATAGTACTCAAACAAATTTTGAAAATCTAGAGTTTTTACTTTGGTTCTATACAAGGAAAAGTCTATAAAAAAAATCACAAAAAGCACCATAAAGGTATAAATATTACTTGTGCACTATATTTAAAATCTTCTCAAGTCATACAATAGCTTGACATATATCTGGTATTAGTAGCAGAAACTGATTCAAATACAGAATAAACATAAGCCTCTCTGTTAATATATTGCACTATATTGTAGTTAAATTCAAAGTTTACCATGCATGATCTTGGAAATAAGCTTCATGTTTTTAAGTCCGTATGGCATCAGTGTTATTTATCTGAATAAGTTAGGAGGCATGTATTTTATTTCCTGACTGAACAACATCCATTTCAAAATTCTATTTTACTCGAATTACAGTTTACATAGGAGTTAAGTATTATATGTACAGTATATGTTGTTGAACTAATTATTAATTTAACCAATGTTTAAATAATTAACCGCTTCAAAATGCATACTGTTAACAAAAATACTGTTAAAACATTTGCAGTTTGCCTCTTCCTCACATTAACTGTCATATGACTTCAGAAGACGTCAAATTAAATGTCCAAGTTGTATTGACCACTTCAACGATGCTTTTAGTGTTCTGTTCTCTTTGAAGCTTAACAGAATAAATCAAAAACCGCCTTTACTGCATGGATAAGAGGAGCCCAGATAAGAGAAAGAAAGATTTAGAACATAATTGTCATTTTATGGGGGTCTATTGCTTTCAGGTAAAAGCATCAGGATACTCACGTAGGCACAGAGGAACCTCTCCGCTCCAGGAGCCGTTGCCGACACATGTGAGGACGGCGGGGAAGGACAGTTCGTATCCCATCAGGCAGCGGTAGCTCACGCTGATGCCCCACTCGAACACAGAGCCCTCCACCTCACCGTTAGACACGCTAGGCAGAGGAGCGCAGGTCACCGCTGGAAGATACAAACACATGGATAGAGATCAGAATTCATTAAGAATGCATGAAAGCACAGCAACAGTGTCATTCATATGCATGTGCTGCCGATGTTGTTTCACAAGTCGAGTCAATAAAGGAATGATGCAAATTAGGTAATACCACAAATGCGGTCGCAAAATTTTAAAGGCCTGTTATGCTCACCAAAGCTGCATTTATTTGATTAAAAAAACAGAAATATTGTGAAATATTATTACAATTTCAAATAACTGTTTTCTATGTGAATATATTTTAGCATGAAATATTGCACGATATTGCGCAGACGCAAAGTATCATTACTCCAGTCTTCAGTGTCACATGATCCTTCAGAAATCATTCTAATATGCCGATTTGCTGCTCAAAACACATTTATTATTAGTATCAATGTTGAAAACAGTTGTGCTGCATATTGTTGTGGAAAACGTGATACATTTTTTTCAGGATTCTTTGAACATTTTGACCATTGCTGCCCTTGCCACACTCTAGACAACATTAAGCAGTCTATTATAGGCCTTTTGAGCAAATTTTAAACAGTAAAACAAGTATGAAACACAAAACAACTCATGAAACAGCAACGATGTAAAAAGAAACATTCAATGTATCCAACTGAACCTTGGTCCAACCTAATAGTCTTGTACTGAGAAATCTAAAATCAACCTTTATTCTATAGCTAACTACAACCAGAATGTGTGCTAATGTGGTTTCATTTGTTGTTTACTTGTCTATCCAACAGATATTACAAAAAAATTATATAAAAAAAAAAATTATATTCACAAACATGCCCTCATTTAAGACAGTTTCCCTAGGCGTTTCTAACTAAAACACAAAAACACCAGACGAAACACACATTTCCACTGAGCACAAGACAGTAATAAATTAACTTAATAAATGTTAATCTAATAAATACTGCACAAAAACAACATCATATTTCATGTGCAGGTCAATCAAGCACACATTCATCATGGTGTCTACATTCAGACTCAGTTGTTTCATTTGTTCCCAATGAGCAGGAATTTGATTAATTCATATTCACTTCATTAAACCGGCAAATTTAATACCCCCATGTAATAAATTAACATGATGTTTGGATTTTAAAACATTTGAATGTCTGTCAAACACTTGAGAGTTCAAATAAATGTTCATTTTGAATCGTCCCACAGTGTTAGTACTTAGTTGCTAGCTGTCCCACATTACAACACACAAATGATCTGACTACTATTACTGCTGTCAGGATTACTACACTCTAAAAAAATGCTGGGTTGTTTCAACCCAACTTTGGGTCAAATATGGACTAACCCAACTTTTGGTTTAAAAATTGAATGTAAAAATTTAACCCAACTGTTGGGTTAGTCCATATTTGACCCAAAGTTGGGTTGAAACAACCCAGCATTTTTTAGAGTGTAGAAAACAAAATAAACTTTAATTTAACACCAACTTTAGTTTTCAGACCAACAATGCCAACCAAAAAAACACTGCAAACTAAATCAAATTCACCATTCACTTTTCAAGTCCCGACACATCACAGAAGGAAAAAGCCAACCAAACTTCCTCGTGTAGTGTCAGTTTCAGGCGATATTGAATCCTGATCTGTATTTTGAGGCTTTACTGCCCTCTGGCCAAGCTTTAATATTTTGTAGACTGTCTTGAAAGCCTATCGCTGAAGAAAGGAAGGTTTTTTTTCTCCAGTTTTTCTACCGTGAAGGACTATGTTCCACTTCAAAATCATATAATAAAGCACAAACACTATATTCAATACATCACTGACGATCACTCCAGCGCCTTCAAGTGTTATTTACAAAGGGTGACTAAAACACAGGGTTTTTACAGCACTTTCGCTTGTTTTCAAGGTGTTAAGAGGTCTGGAAGAGGCTGGTTAAACACGACATTAGCTGGAAACTGTAGCGCAGGCATCACCTCAGGGCTGAGAATCATCTTTTGCAACCTGCTTTCATCTCAGCAACTGTTGCATCATCTTTATGTGAACTTTCAGGGCAGACTTTGCTGCCGCTTTGTGTATGGATCGAGTGTTAAATCCATGCACATGTTTATTTACAAATACCTGTTACTGAACATACTAGGACGTCCTGCACTGACGAAATCAACAAACGTCTGCAGGGCCAATCAAAAGATGTTTTAAATTGCAAATCTCAAATCGGAAAAAGGACGCGGAGGGAGCATATGGAAAACTCGTGAGCTGATATTCTGACAGTGTTGCAGAGCAGTTGGCGGGGAGCAGCTGGGGTTTGGACGGTGTATGAATAAATGATGAGATGTTTTGGAAAGCAAGTGCCCCAATAAAACCTCTAAAAAGATGTGCGGGAGTCATGGCGCTGCTCTGTAAATATCCTATTGTTCATGTGTAAATCTACCCATGCAAAACTAATAAATTACACTCAAAGGTCAATTACGTGTCCATTTGTTCATCACATCGAATAGCCATCAGCTTTCATTAAAGGGACCGTTTTTACTTAACCTCATGTCATTACAAACCTTTCGTACATGGAACACAAAATGACATTTGAAAAAAGTCCACAAAAAACATTTTCTAGAGGTTTAGGAAGATTTGTTATTATTCATGGTGGTCCAAACGAGTCTTACAGTCCTTGCGCATTTCTGCTTTTGCTTTTCTAATCGGCAGTCACATTCTATCTTCCTTCCTAATTGTAGGGAATCAAACTGATTGTATCAAAAAGTAGTTGGGACACCAACAGTGTCCTTCAATCATGAGTGACAGCACATAGATCCTGTGAAGTGCTCCTCAGAGGTCTGTAACACATCAGTAGTTCTCACATGTCTCGTGACACAGTGCAATATTTCAAATTAACCTGTCCAAAGAACATTTGTTTTATAAATAAATGGTCATTTAAGTGCTGCCTGTGATCAGCGTATAATGTTATCGTTACCCCTTACGACTCCGATGAGGTTTTGTTCCATCCTCCATGCGGTGCCAACTCACACCGAGCGAAGCAACTGGATTCGCGAGACCACGAGATTTGCCTGTCCAATTTGCCTGTTCTTGACTTTCAGTGTTTTTCTTGATTTTTGGGGTTCTACCATGGGTTAGTTGGCTAAATGGTTATGTTATGTCTGGTTTAATTGTGTTTACTGTTGTGTTTATTGCTATGGTCTACTTTGTTGTGCTGTAGCCTAGAGTGGCTCTAGTGGCCGTGTCGGAGCTGTAATGTGCCGCAGAAGTGCGCAATATTTTACACACAAACACACACATATATAGCAACTTTTAATGCTATTTTTTGTACTATTCAAACATACTGATACTATATATATATATATATATATATATATATATATATATATATATACACACATAGAGC